GTGTGTGCCGTGTACTCTGCATGTGCCCATTTTATGACCATTAAAGAGGGTTTCATCCCTCTAATTCTCTATTCTCTCTGCTGTTGATGGTATGAATCCATCTTCAAAAGATTTGCTGCTGCTCTAACAAAGCAACATTCCTTGCATTCAACATGTAATTTAGTTTGTTTTAACAAAGCTGAGCATATATAACTTCTCCTCTGCAGTTCTGTAACTTTTGTCAGGTGTGTTTGAGTGTACAGTATCTATTTATTCACCTTCTGCATGTATCCCTCCCACAGCTTGATCTCAGCAGTCAGGGCCTCCTTGTTTCTCTTCAGAGCAGAGTCGTGTCTCTCTGCCTCCGGGACCTTCCAGTTGTAGTAGATAACGTCAGCTGAAAAATGTAAAAACAGGCATTCAGTCGTGAGGGTGGCTCTCGGACATATGAGCGATAACAGTAATGTTTAAACAAACACTCATTGTGCAAACACCCACATTGTGATGATTGTTTTCCTGTCCCATGACAGCTAAAGGTGGCGTAAGGACATGATTGCGCAACATCAATTTCAAAACTGTAAAAAAAGTCGGAAATAAAGTTTGCAGCAGCCCACTTATACAGCACTAAACTGTATTTACCATGTATGCCCAACTTGAATGTAAATTATTAGGAGTGCAGCTTCCTTTATTTTTCACCCCTCCCCCAAAACTGAATGTCTCATGACTTGAGCTCCGCATGCAAGCCAGTCTGAGGTACATGTGATCCTTTATAGGATTACTATTATGACCTCTTGGCTCTTTAAAAAAAAGGGGTGCACCACATACAATGAATGCACGATACAATGGCTACATTTTGTGAATACACAGCTCATTAGTCAGGTCCTTTGGGTGGGGGCTTCATTGAAGTTGAGCTCCCTCGGAGATTCACTGAAGACATGAAGTCTCAGAGGTCTGAAGGCCACAGAGCACAGGGTTTGTTGCCAAGAGCAACCCAGTTCAAAGTCCCATAAGGCACCACTCTAACTACATCAGGTAAGTCATAAAGATATTACTGAGAAAGAGCAGTAGCAGCCTGGTTAGACATTAAACTAAGTCCAATTGGCTCAAAATGTAATGGCAACGATTATTGTTATTATACATTTGCAGGATTTGCAGGGTCAACTGTCTGCTTTGCATGTCAGGATCAACATACCCATTTTCTGGCCGAGCGTGTTAGCCTCAAACATACGCTGGTACATCATGGCCTTCTCAGCTGGGCACTCAGGGATCAGCTTGTTTCCCTGGGATTGGTACTGGCTCTGTTGTAGGAGACATTGAAAGAACGACCATTATGATCACAGATGCAAGGCGCTCCGGTTTCTCTCCGTCTGGAGGTGTAAGGTGACTCTTTGTCTTTGAGGCATTGTTGAACACTGCACAAGGGACCCTTCCTACATGTTAACTCCTTGGTGTTATATGTCTTCATAAACAATTAAGTAGGGGTGCAAGATGAACAATGGGACCAGTTTCTTACCTCCAGGTAAAAGCAGGCAGCGTAGGACTCATTCAGGACATGATTGTTGTGTTTGAAGGCAGGAAGCTGAGAGAAAGAATGGAACAATACATTGTTATAAAAAAAAGATACAGTGTAGACTGACACTATAGGAGAATGTGCATTATCTCTAGGTAATGTTTAGTAAACATACCTGTCCCCTGGGGTTCATTTCCATGACTTGACTTGACTTGTGCTCCCCTTTCTCAAAGGAGAGCATTTTCTGGTTGTATCCCTTCAGGTTCTTCTCCTCCAGGACGATCATCACCCTCCAGCAGGGGGGAGAGCCGGAGCCCCACAGCAGAGTCATTTCCTTGGCCATGGTTTAAGAGTGGACTGCAACACCTGAAGCTGAAAGTGGAGGGAGAAGTTGTATGTGGAGAGTGTCAGATGCATGCTTATATAACAAGCTCCACTCCTTTGCATCCATTGGTGGAGTTATGGCCCATCCCATTTTTGTGTTCTCACCAAAGATCTGCGACTCAAGAAAGTTAAGATGGTTCACACCCTATCCAAGTATGTTAACCTGTTAGGTCAATACAACGTGATGTCATATTATAATATTGCATATTTCAGTAGCTGCATTAAACTAATGTAGTGTGGATCATGCTTTAAGTTAATTATATTCACAGGCACATATGAGGAGGGGATACTTCTCTTGCTTGCCTGAATACTCTTTGATCCCAGTTTTGCAGACGTGACAATGACATGATGGAAAAAAAGGAAAGAAAAACTTGAATTAAACACTGAAATAATAACAATAGATGTTGTGGCACCGATAATAATAACACCTATAAACTGGAAATGTAATTCACAATAGCCATAGTCAGTGAACTTAGTATGTTCTAATAAAAAGTAATTGTACTAGCATTCTAGCAAGCATTACTTAAGTTAAAATAGTAAATAATAAAATATAATCTTGGTTCATTGTTGTTGTTTTATTCTTGCAGTGATTTACTTCTCTTCTACCCATAGTGCTCGTTTCATCATCCTGAAATTTGACTGTTGAAATATCATGGTGACTCAGCACTTTTCACTTAGCCCTGCACACACAGAGGAAACCGGCTCAGGCACTTTATCTAATCTAAACAATGAAGTCGCTACTGGATGAAAACACAGCACCTGTTCAAATTAACCCTACATTTGAGTGTGATATCAAAAGAGAGCGCCCACTGTTCACATTTTCACATAATATGCAGATTGTCTGAGCCTCTCTCTTTCTCTGAGCCAGTCTTTGAACTCTAAACAATGTGTACTTGCCAGTATCAACACATTGTTCATGACGAGTCATATATTTAAACATTTGGAAATCACTATCTCCACCAGTTTGGTCTGAACATGGCCTGCATTCACAAGATAACTTTGCAAAGCTGCAAAAAAAAATCCCTAATATCATGTGACAGCATCCGTTTCTCCATATTTCATGACGGCATGCGTGACTTTAAGTGAGTGCACTGGTGACATTCCAACTTTTCATATCATCTCATCTTATTTGTAAAATTCTTGACAATAACATTTCTTCTTCAGTATGCAGGTTGTCTTTATTGTGTGTGCATGTGTCAGCTCATTCTCTTCATTTTGCTTTGCTAGCATGGCAAACAGTTTCTTTAGAAAAAACACACCCAGAGTAATAATAAAGGGAATGGTGTTTACAATACAACAGTTTTATATTTGGTAATGCACAATGGTTCTGCTCTACATGTAACTACATGTAGAGCACTTTTAGTATGTTGGCTTGTGTCCTGTACATGCCATAGAGACGACTGATCCCACTCTGTACAAAGGATAAATAAATGAGTGGTTGTAGTAGCCTACTCTCTACTGGGTTCGTGCACTGTGTTTTAGGTTTGGAAGGAGACATTTTTCAAATACAATAACCGCAAACACGACAACACACGTGAAGCCCGTCATTTGCAAAGTTATTTTGCCAATACATGTATGTATTCTTCTCATGGAAATGAAAAACTAGAATAACAGCCTCGTGGTGGTATGCTAGTGAACGTTTGTTCCAAAGAGATTCCCTCAAGGCGTTCCTGATATTGCTTTCATGAGATTGGGATGAATGGATCGACGGCCACCGCTGACACGGAGGCATTATAGAGAAGATCAAACAGGTCCCAAGCAAATACCATCATGCACGGTGCAATACATGGAGAAGAGGTGCAGGAAGGCCAAGAGGGAGAATGGAGACATAAAGAGGTGTCCGGGTGGTGGAGTGCATGAGACTGGCGGCTGATTGGGATGTTTGGAGAGGATTGTGATGTCATCAAAGTGCCCAAACAGCCCTCGGCCTACGGGATTGACCTGACCTGAATTTAAGTCCGAAAATGTGTCCTCATGACGGATTTATTTTCTGTTGTAGGCTGAATATCATCAATATTCATTATCAATGAAGAGTGGCAGTGTCTTTAGACCTTTAAAAGATCCTACACTGAACACAAATATAAATGCAACACTTTTGTTTTTGCTCCCATTTTTCATGAGATGAACTCAAAGATCTAAAACATTTTCTATATACACAAAATAACCATTTCTCTCAAATATTGTTCACAAATCTCTTATGGTAGAGAAATGAACATTCAATTCACGGGCAACAGCTCTGGTGGACATTCCTGCTGTCAGCATGCCAATTGCACGCTCCCTCAAAACTTGCGACATCTGTGGCATTGTGCTGTGTGATAAAACTGAACATTTTTAGAGTGGCCTTTTATTGTGGCCAGCCTAAGGCACACCTGTGCAATAATCATGCTGTCTAATCAGCATCTTAATATGCCACACCTGTGAGGTGGGATGGATTATCTCGGCAAAGGAGAAGTGCTCACTATCACAGATTTGTGAACAATATTTGAGAGAAATGGTTATTTTGTGTATATAGAAAATGTTTTAGATCTTTGAGTTCATCTCATGAAAAATGGGAGCAAAAACAAAAGTGTTGCATTTATATTTTTGTTCAGTGTAGGATACTGATTCATGTGTTACTCTTTTCACTTTGGTTTCTAAACACTGATCCTCCAATGGCAAATAAAGACTTCAGATCAGATACACCCATATTACCAGAGTATTTCTTATGTTCTCACAACCAGAAGCATGCAGTGCATCATGTCGCAGAGGCAGCAGAGTGTGCTGGAGCCAGTAAAGTAATTTTTATCAGTTTCAAATAAAATGACAAAGCTGATAACAGAGGAAGCTCTGATCCCCAGCTGCTGTTCCTGTGGTAGAGTTTTCAGGACCTGAACCAAAGTTTATAAGCAAATAAAAACCACTCAACAAAGAAGAGGCACAGCTATGTTTTTTTTAAGGTGTGCACTTTACATAAGTGATATCATTTGGATGTTATGCAAACGATTGAATATCTTGTATGCAAAGTCATAGTAACACAGCATTTCACTCCTTTGTTCAGAGCGTGGGCAATGAAATAAACTGGGTCATGGTTTTGTAGAGGCGGCCTACTTTATTTATTGATGTGTGAGATTAAATAACTATTCCAGACTTGACCTTGAACAGTGGTATTTATTGGGTTCATTCAATGTTCAGCAACAGTAAGGTTTAAACATTAATACATCCTTACTCTTAGACATCACATCTCCAGCAGTCACATATTGATTTTTATTTTCCCCAGTGGAATTGTAGAGCCAATATATGGTTTTAAATTGCATTGCATACAAACAGCATGCAAGACATATAGATTTAGCGGAGGATATTTAGTGCAAAATTGGTAGAAACCCAATCAACCTAAAGAACTAGCTTCATAAGCAAAAATGCATTAAAGTACTCTTATAGTGGCGTGTAAAGGCATTAGTAAACTGATATTGATGTTAGTCAAACACACCTTCTAACTTGGCAACAAGCAACGCTAAATAATATCCCAATGTTGAATGGTGAAGGACTTACCCTGCAATCATAACATTTTGCAGTTTAAATTAATACTATCAATATCTGATCCTGTTTTACCTTAAATTCACAAACACACATTGTTTTTCTTGCATTGCATGGCTGATCCGAGTTGGATTACATTGAACAAGCGCCCATTTACTTCAATGAATTCAACATTTTCCCAGATTTTAGATTTTGCGTTCATTGTGACGAGAAAACAAGTTATATTCAAGAATTCAAGGTAGCACAGGGTGAGTAACTGATATACAAAAAAATGCTTATTATGCCTGTGTTTTCCAACTGATTTATTGTCCAAGATTTAACAGAAACACAGCCTTTTAATTCAATGTAAAAGCTAGATTAACAAAAAAAGGTTTCTGCTATTGGAACACTGATATATTTGGAACATACAAATCTTTTATCGTAACCTCAACACTGTTTATTTTCTGAAAAATGAAAGGGTTGTCTTGCAAAAAGCAAAAGCATCACAATCAGACGTGACTGAGGAGTGTGTGTGAGGGTCTCAGATGTCTTTCAGTGTGTCCTGTCCCTTGGGGTTCTCCAGCCAATGAGGAGGCCAGCTGGCTTTGATGCTGGGGCGGTCCTTCAGCAGAGCGTAGTACTCTCCCAGTTTGGGGTAACGCTCAGCAGACAGCCTGCAGAACAGAAAGAAGATAAGTTGAAAATCTAATGCTACCTCCGCTCCGCCTCCTAAACAAGGCCCGCCCCCCCCCCACTGACACTTTACCTCAGCCACATCATAGACTATGCATTACATTAATGCACACAATGTACAACAATATTTTGTATTACAGTTGATTTTTATTCCATATTTTATTCCTCTATTCCACTCCATTGCAAAGTAGATACTGTTATATTTTACTATATTTATTATTATTTTTTATATTTTTCGAGTTTTCTACCTGTGTTTTTAATTCTTGTTTTTATGCACCATGACACCAAGTCAAATTCCTCTTACGTGTAAAGCTACCTGGTAATAAACCTGTTTCTGATCACTTTTAGTGGTTTGTGCAACCTAGATAAATGCAACAGCGTTTTCCCACTTACCCAAACCGGAACAGAGTAGCAACAGTTGGAAAAACTGTCACATCGGCCAGAGAGAAGGAAGGTCCTGCCAGGTTAGAGGCCGAGCCCAGCTAGAAAGAGAGGTGGCAGATGGCATGTTTCAACGAGACTATGCATGTTTTATTTCGTTTGTTGGTGTGTGTACTGTGCACGCTCTACCTGCAGGTAGTCCTCCCAGAGCTGGAGTTCAGCAGTCAGAGCTTCCTTGTTTCTCTTCAGAGCTGAGTCATGCCTCTCTTCTTCAGGGACAAACCAGGTGTAGTAGATAACTGCATCTAGAAAAAAAGAAAAACACATACATATGAAAGGAAAAGAGCTTTTCTGGGTGTATGAGCTTATTTCCCTCGAGTATTGCAAAAAGTGTAGCATTTGCAAACACCAAAAATGTATTGTTTAAAAGATAAAGTTCTTATTGTCAATATATCCAATCAACATTATAGTTGTTGTTTTTTAAGTTCACTTCATTTTTCTTAAACAGCTGGGCAAAACATTTTTAACAAACTTTACTCAAATAAGTGTTAGAAGAAGAATTTGTGTCCATGGTTTAACACACATTTGTTGCAGGGAGTATTCTCAGCATGGAGAAGTACACGGGCCTCAAAATAAACAATGTGCCCATGTTCATCCTAACAATTAAACGTCTTTTGTTGTGGATTTTCTGACAAATAAAAAAATAGGCTGGATAATACAACTAATATTACTTTGCTAAATCTGCCAGAAACTATTATCGTTGCTTGTATTGAAAGGGATTAAATGTGGGTCTTACTGAGTTTTTCGTAGAATGTGAGACCCTCAAACATGCGCTGGTACATCAGAGCTTGTTCTGCAGCGCCGTCTGGGATCAGTTTGGTTCCCTGAGACTTAAACTGACTCTGCCATTCAGAGAGAAAAGACACATCGTCGATGCCACACATCATAATGTTGAAATTGGTGTGTATTGCATGCCTTAGCTATTTGTATAATGTCCTCTGTAATTGATATTTTATAGTTGTGCATAGGCTCTCTCACCTCCAGGTAAAAACAAGCTGCATAGGATTCATTCACGTTGTTGTCTCCATGTTTGAAAGATGGAAGCTTTAAAAAACAAAACAGGTTATAACGTGAGCAAGACAGATGATTTAAGAGATGAAGATAGCCTAATCATCATCCACCCTGTTTTAATGATACAGCCACAGAGAGCAAATTAAGACAACCTGCTGAGCTGCATTTCAACGACTTTTGGGGAACAACTGCTGCATACGCTCAGGTTTTAACAAAACATGTTGGTTAGGTTAGCTGACTTTATTACAGTATGTGACCTGTTTTTAATGCAAGTGCCTTGGATCATGTCTTTATTCATGTACTGTTCTTAAGTAAAATGTTGAGATCTCCACAACATTTATTTTGTAATAACTTTAATATATTAACAATAATTAGCTGCACCTTTACCAGCTTTGATAACACTAATGCATCAATAATAATAAGAACATGGAATTTATATTATTCTGAAATGGACCATCTGTATGATGGGTACTTTTGCTTTTGGTACTTTAATTATATTTTGATTCTAATACTTTTGTACTGTTACTTCAATAACATTGATTGCAGGACTTACTGGGTTACTTGTAACATTATTTAGTATTCCTACACTCAACTGAAGTGGCGTAGCTCAGAAGAACGGTTAACTCCAAACTACCTTCATTAAAAAAGTCAATTAAATCTCATCTTATTTTGCCGGTAAATAAATACCACATAAACAAATAATTAAGACTTCAAGTGACACATAAACAGGGTTGCCAACTTTGGGTACCTGGCTGGAGTGAGATTTTGAGATCATGGGTTTAATTACACATATGCGCACTAAATGACTGCTATCGTGTCAGTAGCGGGACCTTAGCATAACATATATTAATTAACGCACTCTCACTCTCATATACTCTTTGACTCTATTTTTTGGCCTAGTAGAACAATAACAGCAGACTTTTACTTTTTATCATTTCTACTGGATCTTAAATCTGCGCATGCGCAATAACGGGTTGGGGATTGACCAACCGGCTCCCACTGCTCTGCTGTCTGTTAACGTTGTTAAGAGTGGTGGGGACGGGGGAGGAAGCGGATCGACAGCTTGAGAAGCTGTCAACTCAACGTTGTAAATAACCACCAAAAAACGATCGCCGGTTCATCTTGTTTTTGGTGTGAGAATAGTTTGGGCAGCGTGAGAGCGTAGATTGAGAGTGAAAGCGTGTGTCACACGCCAGATGCGTGAGAGTTGGCAACCCTGATTTACTTTATGATAACGTCGGCGTGCTGGAAGCAGACATTACAGTATGCGCATTGTAGAAATATCTGTTTTAGGTTGGTCTTTACTGCCCTCTATGGTCCAAAAATGTGAAAGGCACTTAGTAGGCAAAATAAACCGTAACGTTACAATGATCCAGATACAAAAGCTTTTAGCACATTCATATACGCCGAATTAAAAAGCACATCCACACTATTGTTCTTAATCATCCCGTTAAGTTTCAGTAAGAATATATTCTCGTATCCTGGTACATAGGAACACATTAAATAGGTATGTTTTTTTTTTTAATGGAGTTTGGCTGGAGGTTGTTCATCAGGGTAATAGGAAATGGAGGAAGTGTAGCTAGCGTTTTGCAATGACTACAAGCGGTTACCGATAGTATGCGTTATTTTGGGTGAGGGAAATTAAAATAGGGTAGTGTTAGTCTTATCTAATTGTATATTTTGCAGGTTACAATGGATTTAGGCTACTCCATACCTGTCCCCTGGCATTTATATCTAACACTTCTTGGGACTTGTGCTCCATTTTCTCAAAGGAGAGCAGTTTGTTGTTGTATCCCTGCAGGTTCTTCTCCTCCAGAGCGATCATCACCCTCCAGCAGGGCGGAGAGCCGGAGCCCCACAGCAGGGTCATGTTCTCGGCCATGATGTCAGCTTCTGTTGCTACTGAAGAGAGACCACCAGACAAATGCGCAAGAAAAACGGAATTTATGTTTTACTCTTTCGACAGTTAATGGGGACTCAAGCTATAATATAAGCTCACGTTGCCACCTGCAGGTGGGGAGGAGGTATTACAACATATAGATAGAGTTAAAATGATACAGGTACTTTTACTTCAGTAATGCAGAATGCAGGACAGTATTTTTTGGAAATATGACTACTTCTTCAACCACTGAAGATACTGTATCTGTGGAACGCTTTGAGTTGAAATATAGAGTGTTGAAAAGGTTAGCTCCGAATTAATGTTATTTATTGAGGTCCATGATGTGATGAAGATGTGAAGGAAGCCTTATCAGAGGGAGGAAAGGGATATCATTTAGGAGGTTGCCCATAATGGTAATTTAGAATGTTGGCCATGGTCATTTAGAATGTGCTTTGGAGTTTTGGCATTCTGGAATGCTGGAATGTTGGGACAGACTATAAGTTCCAGGCTGATCAGTCCTCCCCTTCATTTGGACAGGGGGAGGCCAAGGAGGGTAGGAGTGTGATCCCTTTGAGAGTTTTTTTAAGTAAGATGAGGATTTTTAATTATGAAGGAAACTAGCAGGTTTGGCATGACACAGCAGTGGACTATTTGCAAGATAGTGCTACATTTTGGAGGGATTTAAATGACATGGGGAGGCTGATGATTTTCTTCCTTTTTGTTAACACTGTGAAATAGGCTTCTTCAGTAATGAGAGAACAACAGATTGTGAACATTTAGCCTGCACATTTGCATGCAAAGTAAGTATTGGAGATTAGGGTTTGTTTTCTTCTGTTTCTTTAACTATTCTCTGCCAGGTAAGGCATTAAGAAAACAGAAAGTCCTATACAGATATGACTTTGGGTCACATCCACATAGGACTTTGGGTCACATGCCGATGTGTCCTTGAGCAAGACACTTTAGCACAAATCGCTCCCATAGCATGTCTACGGTATTGAAGTGTTTGTACATTAATATGTTTCAAATGTTCATCTCTACTCACACAATGTGAGACAGGGAATTTGTCATTTGCCGACCTTTGCACAAAGTAAGTATTGGAGAATAGGGTTGTTTTCTTCTGTTTCTTTACCTATTCTTTACCAGGTATCTCAGATTGAGAGTTGACGGAGAGAGAAACGGTGTGTTTAATGGAGTCTGCACCTGTGCACCTGTTCTGTGCTGCTGTGGAGGTTTTTTCCCCGGGAAGTCGCGGAGAGACGGAGCGGCTTCGCGTTCGGATAGGCTTGCGGCCTGCTTTACACCTGCTGTAGCGGAGGCCTGTATCCACCTGCTCCACCTGTCGTGCTCTACGGTGCCGAGGACGTTTTACACGACGGGGATATCGCGGAGAGACCGGAGCGCCTCTACGCCTCGAGCTGGGCCTGCTTCGCCTATCCTGCTGTACTGAGGAGGTTCTGCACCGGGGATATCGCGAAGAGACCGGAGCGCCTCCACGTTTCGGGTCTGCTTGCGCGCCTATCCGGATGCTGTTCTGGTCTGGGAAAATGGCCCATATCGTGATTCTGCTATGCCTGTTAGCTATTTTGGACAATGAGAAGTTCTCTCGTTATCCTGAGAAGTCGACTGGATTCAGGTCTGTTTCTACCGCCCGCAGTGGACATCCCCTGTAAAGGTTCGGATGTGTTACACAGACAATTACTGGTTTGCCTTGTCACAGACATTCAGTTCGACAAATGTTTGTCTTGCTCACTTGCCCTGCTATGATGGTTCTTCAGGACTGCTTCTTGAGCTCTAATCTCACTTTCGCAGAGTTTACTGGTGACTTTAAAGCAGATGACAATGTATGTATATCGGTTAAGAGGAAAAGTGCTTGGTTTTTTTGTTATTATTACTATCAGGGAATGTACAAAAAACCCTGGACCGCCCAGCAGCAGTAGTAGTCAGATCGCTACTCCTGCTGATTTTAATTCTAGATCTGGGTTGGGATTCATTCACTTAAATGTGCGCAGTCTGTTACCCAAGTTAGATTTTGTCCGCATTTGGGGGAGCTCGACTGATGCTGATGTCATTGTCTTATCAGAAACATGGCTAGATAAATCTATTTTGGCCTCTGACATCTACTTAAATGGTTATAGTGTATATCGTACGACCGTACTAAAAAGGTGGTGGCGTTGCCATTTATGTGAAAAATAAGTTTTGTGGAACCAAGATGGTTTCCAAATCTATTAGTTAACAACTCGAATTTTTAGCTTTAAATATTGAAGTAGCAAAGGGGCAACAGGTCATGGTGGTGGGCTGCTACAGACCCCCCTCAGCTGTCAAGGACTCTTTATCTTCTTTGGCAAAACTTGTATCTCAACTAGACTACAAGGAAATAGTACTGCTTGGTGATTTTAACTGGGACTGGTTAACTGCAGTGTCAGAGGATTTTAAAAAACCTTTGTATCTCTTTGAATGTTACTCAGATTGTTGACAGTCCTACTCACCTTAACATTAAGTCCCCAAATAAATCCTCCCTAATTGATCTAATTTTAACTAATGTTCTCCATAAATACTCATCTGTGGGAGTATTTGCGAATGATCTGAGTGATCACTGTGTTGTAGCCACAATTAGGGACACTAAGGTCCTAAAAGTAAACCTCGCATTATCAGTAGAGAGACAAAAAACATTTTGTGGAGCAGGGTTTTGTGCATGATCTGTTTGATTTTGATTGGGGTAAAATCGATCTGTGTCCTGATGTAGAAACTGCATGGTCTTATTTTATCTTGGTTTTATGGAAATTATAGATAGACATGCACCCCTGCATACTTTAGAGTGAAGGGACGAGACAATCCTTGGTTTTCTGCTAAGCTGTCTAGTCTCCTATATGAGAGAAACAAGGCCTGGGCAAAGGCTAGGAAATCAGGCTCAGAGGTAGAATGGCTGCGTTTTAGGCAGCTAAGAAATAGCTTTAACATCGCAAATCAAAGTGCTAAATCAAAGTACTATCTGTCAGTTACCACAAAGAATCTGAATAATCCTGGAAAATTTTGGAAAGCCAATAAAATCGATATCCACCGGTGGATATCCGTAATTGAGCTACCCTCCGTGCCTTACCACAGCATCTGGCACTATATCGGACAGACAGCATTTTTAGCTGTCTTGTGGCTACTGTTTGATTCTGTCACTAACTCTGCTTCTGTGAACACACACAGTCTGTAACTCTGAAAAAGGTGTTTTGGAAAACCCTTTTAGTTTTTACTCCTTTTACTGTTGATGTTGTTCGTGAAGTTTGAACCAAGTTAGATCCTAAGAAACCGGCTGGCCCGGACAATTTAGAGCCTTTCTTTTAAAGATAGCTGCTGATTTTATTGCTCCACCGCTCACTACTCTTTTTAACCTCTCCCCTCAGCAACTAACACAATTCCAAAATTGTGGAAGTCAGCGTATGTCCTGCCTCTACTAAAAGGTGGGGAGGCCACTTTATTAAATAATTATAGGCCCATCTCAAAATTATCAGTTCTGGCTAAGGTGCTCGAACGCCTAGTGAGTGAGCAGGTAAAGGTGTTTTTATGTACAATGACATCCTGTCTAAACATCAGTCAGGCTTCAGAAAGCAACACAGCACCATCACTGCGACAATGAAAGTGGTGAATGAATGTGGCGAGTATTTTAGACAATAAGCAGAGTTGTGCAGCTCTATTTATTGACCGGTCCAAAGCGTTTGATACCGTCGATCATCGCATTTTAAAGCAGAGGCTAGCCAGTATAGGCAATGTCCAGCATGCAGTGGGGTGGTTTGAAAACTACCTCTCTGAAGGTCCCAATGTGTTCACTTTGATGGGCTGTCTTCTGAGTGGTTAAATATTGCTAATGGTGTTCCTCAAGGTTCTGTTTTAGGTCCACTTTTATTCTCCATCTACATCAATAGTTTAGGTGAAAATGTGGATGAAGCTACTTTTCATTGTATGCGGATGATACCGTGATGTACTGTGCAGGTCCCTCCATTAAGGAGGCTGGTGTTAAATTACAGACTGTTTTTAACATTATTCAGACTCAGCTCTCTGAATGAAAGCTTCTTTTAAATATTGAGAAAACCAAGGTAATGCTCTTTTCTAAAGCTAAAAAGACACCAGAGCATGTTTTAGATATTGTAACTACACAAGGAACAAAACTTGAAGTTGTTGCCTGTTACAAATACCTTGGTATCTGGCTTGATGATTGTCTCACTTTTAAACTTCATGTCAATAACCTGCTTAAAAAGCTGAGGGTTAGGCTAGGTTTCTTTTACAGAAATAAGTCCTGTTTCTCGCTTGAGGCCAGGAAAAGGCTAGTCACTGTGACCTTTTTACCTGTGCTGGACTATAGTGATTTGATTTATATGAATGCACCTGACAATTGCCTGATCAAGTTAGATGCTGCGTATCACAGCGCGCTAAGATTTGTGACAAACTGTAAAGCATTAACGCATCACTGTACCCTGTATGCAAGGGCTGGTTTGCTTTCACTAACTGTACGGAGGCTCAGTCACTGGTACATTTTTATTTACAAAGCCATGTTACTTGCATGCTGTAGTTTTATTAAATGTGCCAATTGCTAGGACTGTCTTAGGGAAGACAGCTTTTAGATGTGCAGCGCCACTGTCTTGGAATAGTCTGCAACTGAAATGGAAACTGAGCAATCTGGTGCCACTAAATGTTTTTAAAGCTCGGTTGGATGCTACTCAATCGGAAGCTGTTGGTACCTGTACATGTGGATAGTTATGTAAAGTGTAATCCCTGTGATGATGATGTAAGATGTCCTTTTGTTGTTCTGTTAATGTTTTTATGTTTCATGTGGAACCAACTTGAGCAGGTCTCCCTTGCAAAAGAGTTCAATGATCTCAATGGGATTTATCTGGATAAATAAAGGTTTGAAATGAGGTAAGCCATTAAGAAAACAGAAAGTGCTATACGGATATGACTTTGAGTCACATCCGCATAGGACTTTGGGTCACATGCCGATGTGTCCTTGAGCAAGACACTTTAGCACAAATCGCTCCCGTAGGCATGTCTACGGTATTTAAGTGTTTGTACATTAATATGTTTCAAATGTCCATCTCTACTCACAAAATGTGAGACAG